TTTCTAGCAGCCTGTTGCTGAACCCTAATCCCTGGTGGTATTTACAGCCCGAAGTTATGGGGATTACTCTTCCCAGCTCTGGAACTCTGGACTGGGGAGTCTGGAGTGGATCTGGGACTCTTGCTCCTCAGTTTGCTTCCGCAGAGACTATCTTCTTCCTGATTAAAAAAGCAGCACACGTGGTTGGCAGTCTAGCCCCGTCCGCCTCTCCGCCCCTCCTGTCAGTCTCAATGTGCTTTCCTCTTCTCTAGTTGTAGGACTTCCATTCAGCCAGCTTTCAGGCGGTTCTGGATGATGGGTGTTCTGTATTTTAGTTGTAATTTTGATGTGGTTGTGGGAAGTAGCTAGTCCAGGCGCTTACCTATGCTGCCATCTTGGTTCTAGGCCTCAGTCATTTGTTTATTGATAGAAGTTAAGGTTAACTAAGGTTTGGCCTACTAGAAATTATACTGCTATGATCATTTGTGTATAAGATTTCTTATGCCCTGGCTGATGTGGCTTAGTTGTTTAGGCATCATCCCCGAGCACTGAAGGATTGCTGGTTCTATTCCCAGTCTGGGCACATGCTTGGGTTTGGGCTCAATCCCTGGTAGGGGGGCATGCTGGAGGTAACCAATGGATGCTTCTCTCTCTCTCTCTCTCTCTCTCTCTCTCTCTCTCTCTCTCTCTCTCTCTCTCTCTCTTTCTCTCTCTCTCTCTTCCCCCCTCCCTCCCTCTCTCCCTCCCTCCCCTAACCCCTTACTCTATCTCTAAAAATAAATTTTAAAAAACAGTATTTTTTTTAAAAAAGTATTTCTTATAATATGTTTTCATTTCTCTTGAATAACTACTGGGTTTGCTGGGTGGTATATAGTAAATCTATATTTAATTATTTTGTTGCTGTTGTTAATCTTTATCTGAAGATATTTTCCCCCATTGTTTTCCGGACAGAGTAGAAGGGAAGGGGGTGGGGGGAGAGAAAGAGAGAGAGACAGACATCCGTGTGAGAGACACAAACCAACTGAACTGTTTGCCTCCTGCACAAGTCCCAATCAGGAGAGGGGAGTGAACCCTCAAGCCAGGTACATGCCCTTAACAGGGAATCAAACCCACGACCCTGCAGTGCGTGGGCTGATGCTCTAACCACTGAGTCACATGGCCAGGGCTATGTTTAATTTTATAGGAGACTACCAAACTACTTTCCAAAGTGGTTGTGCCCTCTTAAAATTCTACCAGCAATCCTTGCCAACACCTGCTATCGTAAGATTAATTTAAACTATTCTAGTGGATAGATGCATGCTAATATCTCGTCGTGCTTTTACCTGACATTTTCCTGAGGCATCAGAAAGTGTACAGTCATGTCATTTATCAGAGTGAGAATGTCTCTTTCTTTTCCAAGTTTGTTGAGAGTTTTCATTATGAATAAGTATTGAATTTTATTCTATGTAAATTATACCTTAATTATATTGATTTTTAAAAAACTATAGTTAGCCAGAACCGGTTTGGCTCATTGGATAGAGCGTCGGCCTGCAGACTGAAGGGTCCCAGTTCGATTTCGGTCAAGGGCATGTACCTTGGTTGTGGGCACATCCCCAGTAGGGGGTGTGCAGGAGGCAGCAGATCAATGTTTCTCTCTCATCGATGTTTCTAACTCTCTATCCTTCTCCCTTCCTCTCTGTAAAAAAATCAATAAAATATATTAAAAAAACAAAAAACAAACTATAGTTAACAGCAGACTTAAAGAAACAGAAGCCTAGCTGGTTTGGCTCATTGGATAAAGCATTGTCCTATGCACTGAAGGGTCGCTAGTTCATTTCTGGTCATGGGCACATGCCTGGGTTTCGGGCTTGATCCCCAGTAGGGGCATACAGGAGGCAGCCAATCAATGATTCTTTCTCATCACTAATGTTTCTATCTTTTTTCTCCTCCTCTCCTTTCCTCTCTGAAATCAATAAAAATGTATATTAAAAAATAATTAAAATAAAACACTGAATAATTTCCTCCTAAGACAGGGAAGAAGGTTAGGTAATCTTCTCCCATCACTTTTATTCCCCATTATCATGACAGTCTTAGCCATGTAATAAGGAATGAAAAAATATATAGACTGCAAAGGAAAAAGTGAAACTATCACTACTTTCATATGACAAAATTTACATAGATAATCCTAAGGAATCAATAAAAGAAATACTAAAAGTAATAAGAGAATTTAGCAAGGTCTTAAGATATAAGTTTAATATTATAATTAAATTTCTATCCTGAATTTACCTCAGGAATACAAAGTTAATTGAAATTAAATAAATTTAAATTTCTTTATGTTTACATGATAATATATGTAGAAAATCCTATGGAATTTACAAAAAAATGACTAGCATTAAACTGTTTATGAAGGTTGTGTAATACAAAATCAATATATAAAACAAATGATACATCATTTCTACATTCCAATAATACTATTTTTATGGTTCTTCTATCTAGTTGCCAAAGACAGAATCTGAGATATTAATGCTGATCTTTTTTTTTCCCCCTCACGAACCTACTCTCCCTTAATCAAATCCAACCAAGTTCTGTTGACTTTATCTGTTAAACATCTCCAGCATTTACTCACCTTTCTTCATCTCCACCCAATCAACTTTCGAGTGAAACCACGCCCTAAAACTAAAACTAGATCTTAATAACCTATTTTTCTTCTTCTAGTCTTAAGTATCAAATTCTTTCTGATCACTGCTGGTAATTTTATTCCTGATTACCTCCTCTCCTCAATATGTTTATTTCTAAGTCCTGTACATCTACATCATCATTCCTGGGAAGCAACATTTTGCAGTTGGGAGCAAACAGGATTTTGAGTCAGGGAGATGAGTTCAAGTCCTTTCTCAGCTATTTAATTTTCTGTCATTAAAAAAGTTTTGTGAGCCTTAGTTTTCCATCTTTAGAAGAATTTTAGCCCTAACCAGTTTGGCTTAGTGGCTAGAGTGACGACGGCCTGAGAACTGAAGAGTATCTGGTTCAATTAATGTACATACCTCAGTTGCAGACTCGATCCCCAGCCCTGGTCAGGTGAGGCACATGAGGGAGACAACCATGTTTCTCTCTCTGAGTGTCTGTCCCTATCCCTTCCACTCTCTCTAAAAAATCAATGGAAAAGTATCCTCAAAGGTGAGATGAGGATTAACAAAATAACAAACCAAAAGAATTTTAATGGTATTTTCATACAATTATTGTGATAATTTGGTTTATTAACCAGTCCACAATAGATATTTCATAAAATATAGTCTCTTACTCCTTTCTCTTTGTAAGAATGACTTCCAGAACTTTCCCTCAGTCCATTACACATCTTCAAAGACTTGATATATTTCATATTGACAACCAGAGAGGAAACACTATTTTACAACATTTGTGCTCTAAAGGTTCTTCTTGAACACATTTTGGCATTTTAAAAATTCTTCTGAATATTTAAATACTAAAATTGTAGTGCTGTGAAAAAACTTGTGTGGAAAGTTAGGAGACCCAAGTCTAATTTCATTAATGCCATCCAGTAGCTTGGACTTTAATCTCCTTGGATTGGGATAATTTCCCATGAAAAATAAGGGTGCTAGACAAGATAATCTCTCAAGGTTTGGGTATTTAAATTCTATAATTTGGGGGGAAGAATTATCTTGGATCATTAGCAATTAGGTCCTTGGGCCTAGAAATAAATCTTATTTGGGAAGGAATGTTCAAGATAGAAAAGTATGACTAAGTAAGAAAAAGTAGGTGAGAGCAAACAGATCATCCCAACTCAAAATACTTCTGCTTTCCCACATTCACCCTGCTGTAATTGTTTTAGAATAGAAATATCTTCTTGTATACAAATTTTCTAATGGGCCACTTGCTTTGTTTTATCTATAGCTGGTCCTCACAGTTTCAATTAAAAAAAATCAGTAAATTATGCCAAAAATAAGTAATATTTAGCATTTCATATTTACTTCCTACTAACCATTTATTCAGAGAGGTAAGATACTGGCTATGGGGATGAAGGCCAGGGCAAGGATGAAGGCAGGAAGTTATTTATTTTGTCTATAGCCAATAAAACTGATTTCTAAAGAAGTGATTTTGAGAACCATTTTTCAGCTTCCCTGTTTTTTAAAACTATACAAAAGTTGTCCTTCAAAATAGTCACTCTTTTGTACAAGTCAAAAGGATATCATATTCTTTTGCAAGAAACCTCACTGAACATTATACATTTACAAAAATTCATAATTTCTGTTATTTAACACATTATTTTCTATTTCTATGATATGATCTTTCCCATACAAAGAATCATTATTGCAATTACTGAGGAATTAATAATAATCTAATAAACAATACTGCCCAAGAATTATAGAGCTGTGACATTTAATCTCTACCTCACTTGTGAGGGCCTCCATGAGTCTTCCTACTTGGAAAATTTACACAAACAGCTCACTACAAACGCCACAAAAACTAATTTCATCTTAATGCAGGCTAATTTAAAAGATACATTAATATTTTAAGATATTTTACTTTAATGTTTTAATATTAATATTAAATTGAGGTCAATTTTCTCTTTTTAAGTCAAGAAGCATGAATTAGATTTACTTCTTAGTTGTCTGAGACAAATAAGGAAACTGGCACTAGATATACAGACTGCTTATAATTTTTAAAAACTTTACAGAAATAACTACAGATTAAGTCATCAAGAAAATGAGGAAAAAAGGCAAAGAAGTACCTCTGATTATTCAAATTAGTATTTTTTGTCATTTTGCTTTTGAGTTAAAATTTTTTTATTAAATATATTGTGCTGACATTGCTAATAAAATTATACAGGTTTCAAGTGTACAATTCTGTAAATACATTATCTGTATATTGCATTGTGTTGACCAGCCAAAGTCGAGTCTCCTTCTATTACATCACCACAGTCAAACTAAATTTTTTTAGAACTCACTCAAACAGTGAACATTATAAATCAGAAAAAAATTTATTATGACAGAGAAAAATTGAAATGAGAGACAACAGCTTAAACTTACTGGGTTATCTGTGGAATCATCAGCCAACTGTAAACCAAAATAGTCACGCTCAGTCAAATCAAGATGTTTGAAGACTATATCCAACAGAACTTGCCCCTGATCATGTTTCTAGAAGAAAAATAAAAGGAAATCAATACTGATAGGCTATATACACATTCAGATTTTTAACCTGTTGGATTTTTCTCCTCTTATATTAAACTGGCAGTTGTTCCCATCCAATGACTATTGAGAATAGGCTTAACAGGTTACACAGTACTTAAAAAAACTCTAACTTTAGGCAAATTAATTCAAAGACCATATGAATAAATCCTATATAATAAAGAGGTAATTTGCAAATTAACCATCAGTCCCACACATAAGATGGCCGCCCCCATGTGAATACAAGATGGCCAGCAAGGGAGGGCAGTTGTGGGTGATCAGGCCATGGGGCAGGGGGGGGAGCGGGAGGAGGAGGCGGGGGGGGGGGGGGAGAGGAGGGGAATTGGGAGGGTCCAGGCCTGCAGGGGAAGGCAGTTTGGTGGTGGTGGTGGTGGTGGGGGCAGGCCTGCAGGGGAGGGCAATTGGGGGCAACCAGGCCTGCAGGGGAGGGTAGTTAGGGGTGACCAGATTGGCAGAGGAAGGCAATTAGGGACAATTGGGCTAGCAGGGGAGCAGTTAGGCATGATCAGGTTGGCAGGCAGAAGCAGTTAGGGGCAATTAGGCAGGCAGGCAGGTAGGCAGTTGGGATTATTTAGGCCCACTGGATTGGGCTTAAATGGGCAGTCACACATCCCTCAAGGGGTCCCATATTGAAGAGGGTGTAGGCTGGGCTGAAGGACATCCTCTCCCCTCCACCCCATGCATGAATTTCTTGCACCTTGCCTCTATGAAGATATAAGGAAAACTTTTAATTAAAAACGCATTCTGCTTTTAGGATACTATGATATTTTTGTAATTTTATTTTCTTGCCAGATTAGTCATTTGCATTATTGCTTTTTTCATACATTAAAACTGACTGGAAAGTGACATGTTTGACTAAATACAATTTAAAATTTGTGTGTCTAAAATAAATAAACCAAGCCTGGCCAGCATGGTTCAAGGTTTGATTCCCAGTCTGGTATATTCCTTGGCTGTAAGCTCAATGTCCAGTATGGGGCATGCAGGAGGCAGTCGATCAATGATTCTTTCTTATCATTGATGTTTCTACCTCCCTCTCCCTCTCTCTCTGAAATCAGTAAAGATATATTTAAAAAAATAAATAAGTAAATAAATAATATTTGGTTTGTTGAATAAGTGGATGATAAAATGGCCTACAGAATAAATTTTAAAGTTTATATGGTTTTTAGTCTTTGTGTAGGCATTACTGGCCCTTTAGTTTTTCTTACTTCAAAAGAAGACCAGTTAGGGAAGGAATCTCTAGAGCACAAATGATAGAACATGTGCAAAAAAGCTAACTTACTGGAAATAGTTTCTCTAAAGATACAGAAACTATCTCTAACAAAACCTATTTAGGCTTATCACTAGAACTTTAAGGAGCAACAACAACAGGCAAACTGAGATTCCTATGCTTGTTGGCAGGCCAAATACAAACTCTATTCCAACAAACTAAACAACCTAGAGAAAATGGACATATTCCTAAAAAAATACGACCTTCCAAAACTCAATCAGGAAGAATAAAAAAATCTTAACAGACCTATACCTAAGGAGGAAATTGAAGCAGTCATCAAAAAACTCCCAGCAAACAAAAGTCTGGGTCCAGATGGCTTCACAGGGGAGTTTTATCAAACCTTCAAAGAACTAAAACATACTTTTCAGACCAGTATAATTCTTTTATAAAACTAATTCTTATATAAAACTAATTCTTTTTAAAAAAAATTCAAGAGGAAGGCACACTTCCAAGCCCTTTCTATGAAACCAGCTTTATTCTAATCCCAAAACCAGCTAAAGACACTACAGATTTCTGAGTTACAGGCCAATATCCCTGATGAACATAGATGTTAAAATCCTCAACAAAATCCTAGCAAATCAAATCCAGCATTACATTAGAAAGATAATACCATGACTAAGTAAGATTTATTCCAGGGATGCAAGGCTGGTACAATATCCACAAATCAATACACATGATACATCACATAAACAAATTGAGAAACAAATATCACATTATCATATCAATTGATGCAGAAGAGGCATTTGACAAAATCCAACACCTTTTCCTGATAAAAAAAAAACTTTCAACAAAGTAGGATAGAGGGATCATACCTCAACATAATAAATGCCTTGTATGACAAACCTATAGCCAACATCATACTCAAATGGGCAAAAACTAAAACCATTTCCCCTAAGAAGAGAAACAAGACAGGGATGCCCACTTTCACCACTCCTGTTCAACATAGTACTAGAAGTGCTAGCCATAGTGATCAGACAAGAAGAAATAAAAGGCATCCAAATTGGAAAAGAAGTAAAACTGTCATTATTCTCAGATGGCATGATATTGTACAAAGAAAACCCTAAAGACTCCATCAAAAGACTAAACTTAATAAATGAGTTTGACAATGTACCAGGATACAAATTTAACACCAAGAAATCTATGACTTTTTTATACACAAATAATGAACTCACAGAAAGAGAAACTAAAAAAACAACCCCACTTACCATTGCAACAAAAAAATTAAGAAATCTAGAAATAAATTTAACCAAGGATGTAAAGAATCTGTACTCAGAAATAGGATGCTGAAAAAAGAGACAGAGGAAGACATAAACAAATGGAAGAATATACCGTGTTCATGGATTGATAAAATCAACACCATTAAAATGTCTATACTACCCAAAGCAATCTATAGATTCAATGCAACCCCCATTAAAATATCAATGGCATATTTCACAGACCCAGGAAATACTCTCCAAAAATTCATCTGGAATAAAAATAGACCCCGAATAGCTACAGCAATCTTGAGAAAGAAGAATAAAGTTGCAGGGATCACAGTACCAGATATCAAGCTATACTACAAAACCAGTGTTCTCAAAACTGCCTGGTACTAGAACAAAAACAGACATATACTAGTAGATCAATAAAACAGAACAGAGAATCCAAAAATTGACCCAAGACATTATGCTCAATTAATATTTGACAAAGGAAGCAAGAGCACACAATGGAGGCAAGACAGTGTCTTCAATAAATGGTGTTGGGAAATTGGACAGATATATGCAAAAAAATGAAATTAGACCACCAACTTGTACCATACACAAAAGTAAACTAAAAATGGATAAAGGACTTAAACATTAAGATGAGAAACCATAAAAATCTTAGAAGCAGCCATGGGCAGCAAAATAGACATTAGTCGTAGCAATATCTTTACTCATAAAGCTCCTAGGGCAATGGAAACTAAGGAGAAAATAAAGAAATGAGACTCCATCAAAATAAAAAGCTTCTGCACAGTAAAAGAAACCCTCAACAAAACAACAAGAAAGCCCCACTGAATGGGAGAACATATTTGCCAATGTTATCTCCGATAAGGATTTAATTTCTAAAATTTACAGGGAACTCAGACAACTTACCAAAAGGAAGATAAACAATCCAATCAAAGAAAAATGGGCAACGGACCAAAATAGACATTTTTTCAAAAGAGGACATACAGAAGGCCAAGAGACATATGAAAACATGCTCAGTCACTAATCATCTCAGAGATGCAAATCAAAACGACAATGAGGTACCATCTCACACCTGTCAGAATGGCTATCATCAACAAACTACAAGTGCTGGAGAGGATGCAGAGAAAAACGAACCCTTCTTCAGTGCTGGTGGAAATGCAGACTGGTGCAGCCACTATAGAAAACAGCATGGTGTTTCCTCAAGAAATTAAAAATGGAACTTCCATCCATTTGACCCAGTAATCCCACTTCTAGGAAAATAGGCCAAGAAAACAAAAACACCAATCAGAAAGGATATATGAACACTTATGTTCATAGCAGCACAATTTACAATAGCTAAGATTTGGAAATAGCCCAAGTGCCCATAAGCAGAAGAGTAATTTAGAAAACTGTGGTGCATCTACACGATGGAATATTATGCTGCTGCAAAAGAGAGAGAGAGAGAGAGAGAGAGAGAGAGAGAGAGAGAGAGAGAGAAAGAGCGCGCGCGCGCGGAGAATTCTTATCATTTGCAATGGGATGGAACTGGAGAACATTATAAGCCAGTCAGAGAAAGATAAATATCACATGGTCTCACTCATTTGTGGAATATAATGAACAACATAAACTGATGAACAAAAATAGAACCAGTGACATAGAAGCATCAACAGACTTTCCAATCTATGAGGGAAGGCGGGTGTGGAGGGTAAGAGATCAACCAATAAATAGCATATGAGCATAACCAATGGACACAGACTCGGGGGAGAGGTGGTGAGGGCATGTTCTGTGTGTGAGGGCAGAGGTGGGGGGGGGGAGGGGAGAGAGACTTATGTAATACTGTAATACTTTAAACAATAAAGAATTAAAAAAGAAATACCAATCCAATAATATAGCAGACTAGATCATCTAAAAACTCTGCAATAAAATCCCAAGAGATACTGGATAAAATGTAATAAGCATTCTTTTCATTGCATAAACTGAAAAAAGAAAACAGCAGGAAAAAGGAAGAAACAAAAAATGTAAGAACTTGGGTATAAACTGTCATGGAAAGGCTTGTGAAAGAATAAGCAGTTTAGGTTTATCACACAAAGGTGAGACAATAAGTAGGGCAAGAGCTCAACCAGGAGAGATACAGAACTAAAACTTTTCATTGAAACACTGGATCCTGGATAGCAATATTCTTAGTGAAACATAGACTATGGAGAGTTGGGAGGACCTCCACTAGCCCAGGATGAGATCAAAGTAGTTTTTGTTGTTGTTTTTGCTTCACCTGAAATCTACGTAGATAAAAAGAAAAGTCTCCCCTGAAACTTCACAGCCACCAAGGCTGCCCTACCATGGGTCTAAAGTTTGATTTTATGCTATCTATTGTCTATAGAACCCCAAAGGTAAAAAAATTAAAATTAAAAATTAGTCCTGAGTAAAAACGAATTATTTCTCAAGGAAAATATCCTTAACCTAAACTACAGATGATTCCCAGAGCTAACGCTAATCAGAAAACAAGGTTACAATTGAAAATTGTACAACACAAGAAGAATTAAGAGCATAAGTCAGCAGAGCTAAATTATATCCCTTTAGAACTTCAAGTAATAGAACTATAGAGACCATAAACTTAAATGATGGAAAGTATTAAAAATATAAAATGATTTGCAATATCAAATAAAAAAATATTATAAAGATAAAAATAATTAAGTCAGTGTGGATTGGCAAAGATAGACCGAAAAACTATTATAATAGGAGAAAAATCCCAGAAAACAAGCCCACACAAACTTTATTTACAAGAAAATAGTACTAAAGAGCAGTAGAGAAAGAAAGGTCTTTTCAATATGATGACAAGGAGCTAACTGGATATCCATATGAAAAGAATAAAACTTAACCAAAATCAGAACTTTACCAGCCATGGCCAGTTTGGTTAGAGCATCAGCCCAGGGACTGAAAGATGACAGGTTTGATTCCAGGTCAAGGGCATGTACCTCAGTTGTATGGATAAGTTAGATCCCTAGCCTTAGTGGGTGCTCTTGCGGGAGGCAACCAGTTGATGTGTCATTCTCACATCGATGTTTTTCTCTCTCCTTTCCACCCCTCTTCCCTCCCTTTCACTCTTAAAAAAAAATCACTGGAAACAATATGGAGGGGGAGGAGGACAGGTTAAAAACAAAACAAAACTTCACTATATCCCAAAATTACTAATGGATTAAAAAGATTAACAACACACAAACCTCTGAGAAGACTGAATATGAATAACAAAAAAAGTAAAATAAAAAAATACAAAAGGAACCAGAGCATACAGACCTACAAAAATGAAAGAAAATAGTAAGCAGTTTAAAATCTCACACATCAAAGATACCAGACACAGATATCTTTACCAAATCTGTAAATTCTAACAACCTTCAAAGAACACATAATTTCCAACTTACCTACACTATGCCAAAGATTACAGAGAATGTTACCCACTCTATGATTCTAATTCTGATATATCTCCTTGGATAAGGGAAACAGAAGAAAAAATACACAAATGGGGCTACATCAAATTCAAACTCTTTTTGCACAGCAAAGGAAACCATCAACAAAATGAAAACCAACTGAATGGGAAAACATATTCGTCAATGATATATCTGATAAGGGCTTAATATCCAAAATTTACAAGAAACTTATAAAACTCAACACCAAGAACACAAACAATCCAATTAAAATATAGGCAAATGACTTGAACAGACATTTCTCCAAAGAGGGCATAGAAATTGCCAATAGACACATGAAAAGATGCTCAACATTACTAATCATCAGAGAAATGCACCTGCAGGCCTGTCTCTCCCAACTGCCCTCCTTTACCTGCCTGGTCATCCCCAACTGCCTTCCCCTGCAGGCCTGGTTCCACCTCCTCCCCAACATCCCTCTCCTGTAGGCCTGATCACCCCAACTGCCCTTCCCTGCAGGCCTGGTCACCCCTAACTGCCCTCCCCTGTTGGCCTGGTGACCCCCAACTCCCCTCCCCTGAAGGCCTGTTTCCACCCAAACTGCCTCCCCTGCAGGTCTGGTTGCCCACAACTGCCCTCCCCTGCAGGCCTGGTTGCTCCCAACTGCCCTCCCCTGCAGGCATGATCCCCACCCCCCCCCAACTACCCTCCACCTTGTGGTGGCCATCTGTGTGCACATGGGGGCAGGCATCTTTGGCCACATGGTGGTGGTCATCTTGTGAGTTGGAGTGATAGTCAATTTGCATATTACTATTTTATTAGGTAGGATGTTAAATTTTGGGGTGTGATAATGATACTGTGGTAACTTATGAGGCTCCTAGGATGCTGAAATACAGGCAAAATGAACCACTTTTAGAAAATAATGGCAGAAAAAGAAATGTACAAAATGTTAAGAACAGGTTAATCTAGGTAAAGGATATATGGGTATTCATTATACTCTTTCATCTTTTCTTTTGGCTTGAAATTTTTTAAACAAAAAGCAGGAATGCACCCTTATATATTAAGACATACACAAGAATATTCACCAGCAACATTACTGATAAGAGACTAAAGTGGAAACAATCCAAATAAACACCAACAGTAAATTTGACAAGTAAATGGTAATAAATCAATGGACAAGTAAATTACAGTATATTAATATAACAATGAGTACTATAATACAGCAATGAAAATGACAACTACTGTTAACACACCACATGGGTGAAACTCACAAATAATGTTGAGAAATTAAACTATTCACAAATCAGATGAACAAATTATTTGTTGAATAAATATTCCAGATAAGACTCAGATAATATCAGGGCTATTTTTTATCTCTGTTTAGCAAAGGTTTTTTTCATAGGCAGTACAAGAAAGATTAAAATGAAAATGTATAAAGTTATTTAGGAGAACAAATTCCTTTAAGCAAATTTATAAAAACTACCCACATACTATTGATCTGCTCCACTAATTAATCATAATGCACTGCTGATTTGTCAACTTTTTTAAAGATCCAGTTTGAATCAGAACTTGTACGTGATAGTTACAAACCTGTACTACAATAACTGTTCTTCAATGAGTAAGAGTTTCAACCTCTACTATAATTAACCAATTTAATTATAACCAGATATTATTTTTAAAAGAGAGCAACATAAAATACTTACACTAACTTTGAAAACTTGTACAGTGTTATCCAGAAGAAGAATGTTGCAATCCACTTCTGTATGCTGTCTGTCTCGGGCCAACTCTGATGCTCGTACATTGTAAGTTCTGCCAGCAGGCAAACGGAAACGTGAGGTCATTACTGTCCACACAATGTCTAAGTTGGGGGGGGAAAAAATCACTGAATAAAAGTTCAAGATACAGAGTAGTTTATTTAAAACACAAATTTACTATGTGTTTTTCAATTACCACTTAGGTAAAAAGCAGTTATAAGTTTTGAAATAACCAGATAAAAATTTGTTAATATAAAAGAAGATACCATACATATAGTTCATTATCTAAACTAAAATTACAACCTACCTTAAAAAAGGTTTATTTTTAACTGTTGCATTGAAAAATAAACCAGAAAAATTGTTCAGGGAATCATATTCCAATTCATAACATATTAATTTAGTAGTCAAAAGAAAAAGGAGAATTTGCTACTTCAGGAAGTTGAACATTACTTATTGATGCAAGCATTAAAAACACTGCAAAGTGGCAACAGGAGGGAGGATTATTTAACTCTGAAGGGCTCAATCCCTTTATTAAGCGTAAGGCTAGGAGGAAGCAAGGAGTTTTTGTTTGTTTGTTTTCAAATACAATGCCCTTCATTTTAACTATCCTCAAATTCAAACTAATTCTAATAGAATTACTCTTATTCTTTTTTAAAAATATATATTTTATTGATTTTTTTTACAGAAAGGAAGAGAGAGGAATAGATAGCTAGAAACATCCATGAGAGAGAAACATCGACCAGCTGCCTCTTGCACACCCCTTACTGGGGATGTGCCGGCAACCCATGTATAATACATGCCATTGACCGGAATCGAACCTGGGACCTCTCAGTCCCCAGACTGATGCTCTATCCACTGAGCCAAACCGATTTCGGCACTGTTATTATTCTTAACACAAAAACAAAAACTTAAAGCTACAGATCTTTGGATCTCAACTTGTAACCTAAGAGGGAAAAAGTATATTGCCTACAGAAGACCAGATATCACACCGATATAAGCAGCATTTGATATTATAAAACAATGAAGATGTAGCTTCAAGTTTGAAAGAAAATTACAATAAACCCTAAATTTTATGGACCTTGATTTAACAGGCTTTGGATTAAATGGACAAAATTTCCGGTCTGTGTATCATATGTGAAAATTAACACCCAATTAAGCAAGCTTTGCTTATAAGTAAATTAACATGTTTTCTCGTTATTTTTAACAAATTTTGGCACATAGGCCATATGTTGGAAAATACACTAGTAATTTCAATGACATAAATAAATATCAGATATCTACAATTATAGCTTACATATTGGGTCGGCAACTAAGTAATTGCGGTTTTCACACACATATGGCTTCAGTTGAATTTTTAGGTTTGCAGACGTAGTACAAATGTAAAACACATTTTGTTTATTTGATAGTTGGCTATTCAGCTGTTAATCAGTAAAAAAAGTTTTTTGATCTGTTTTGTAGTTTTCGTTTGGCGTTCGTTGAAAAATGGAAAATCAAAAGGAACATTTTCGTCATATTTTGCTTTTTTATTTCCGCAAAGGGAAAAACGCATCGCAAGCTCATAAAAAGTTATGTGCTGTTTATGGTGACGAAGCCTTAAAAGAATGGCAGTGTCAAAATTGGTTTGCCAAATTTCGTTCTGGTGATTTTTCACTCAAAGATGAAAAACGCTCTGGTCGTCCAGTTGAAGTTGATGACGCGCTAATCAAAGCAATAATCAATTCGGACTGTCACAGTACAACACGTGAGATTGCAGAGAAGCTTCATGTATCACATACATGCATTGAAAATCACTTAAAACAACTTGGCTATGTTAAAAAACTCGATACATGGGTTCCTCACGAACTGAAAGAATCACAGTTAACGCAACGCATTAGCAGCTGCGATTTGCTAAAGAAACGTAATGAAAATGATCCATTTTTAAAACGACTGATAACTGGCGATGAAAAATGGGTTGTTTACAACAATATCAAGTGGAAAAGATCGTGGAGCAGGCCAGGTGAACCAACTCAAACATCAAAAGCTGATATTCATCAAAAGAAGGTTTTGTTATCAGTTTGGTGGGATTACAAAGGAATTGTCTACTTTGAACTCTTACCACCCAACCGAACGATCAATTCTGATGTCTACATTGAACAACTAACAAAATTAAACAATGCAGTTGAAGAAAAGCGGCCCGAATTGACAAATCGAAAAGGTGTTGTATTCCATCATGACAATGCAAGGCCACACACATCTTTGGTCACTCGGCAAAAATTAATGGAGCTTGGTTGGGATGTTTTGCCACATCCACCATATAGTCCTGACCTTGCACCATCTGATTACTTTTTGTTTCGATCTTTACAAAACTCCTTGAATGGTAAAAATTTCAATAATGATGATGATGTCAAATCGTACCTGATTCAGTTTTTTGCTAATAAAAACCAGAAGTTTTTTGAACGTGGGATTATGATGCTGCCTGAAAGATGGCAAAAGGTCATTGATCAAAATGGGCAATACATTACAGAATAAAGTTATTTAGTTCCATGAAAAAATTGTCTTTTTCTTTAAAAAATCCGCAAGTACTTAGTTGCTGACCCAATATTTAAATTACAGAGTCACCACTGGTAAACAATGTTCAGCGAATGATTACACCACATTTCCCATGGTAACTGGTTCTGTTGTCCCATGGCATGACTTCCTGCAGCAATTTTAACAAGCATGCCAGCTGGCTGATGTTCTCTTATGTGCTAAGCCATACCACAGCCAACTGCCCCAGTCCTGTGCATTTGTTTACTTGTGGTGACTGGTGAGTGCACGTATCTACTAGACCTATTCACAGTATAAATTTAAAATTACTATAATACATATAGAAAATGTTTCTATGAAATTAAACCTTTCATACATAATTTTAGTTACACAAAAATGTCTACATAGCAAAAACAGGTAAACTAATTTGTCAAATTTTTAACCTAGTTAGTTATATAACAGACACCCACTTGTCTATTGTATTGAGTCTTTACTGTATTTGTAACACAGAAGTATATACCCCCAAATTAGAATTTGTATTGTGGGCCCTCGGAAAGAAGACATCTACAAAAAAGGGCTCCTAGTGCTTAACTGGGCTCAAACTTAAAAACAAAGACAAAAACAGAGCCCAGCAGCAATTTCTACACAGGACGACTCACACAAATGCACTTCAGGGAGACGCCTGCACTGAACTCCCTGCCTCTGTACTGAACTGCCTGCCTGCAGTGTGTTTCTGCCACCTAAGCCAACCCTTACAAAGGGTTCCTGGAATCCTATTTAACCAATAGGACTGAACCTTTCCCCATCCAATTAAACCTGCACAGCTCCAACCATCCAGAGCAGCTCTATGCTGACCAATCAGGACAATGTCTTTTGGACCAATCAAACTTTGAAAATTTGGAAACCTGATGTGAAAGAGGAACATACCAACCAATCAGTGACCAGGTCCATATAAGCCGGCTCTCATCGGCTCTGGGAGCACATTTTCCCTTTCCACCAAAGACTGTGGTTCCCCAGCTGAGCTGAAACACCGAAGATATCTCACCAGAATAGAGCAGAGCACACCAATGCAAGCCAAAGCAGACAGGCAGGAAGCAGAGCGGATCAGTGAGTAGAGTTAAGCTATCTAGCCAGAGAGAGGCCTGGCCCCAGGGATGGCTAGTCCTAGGGCTGCTTCACAGCCATGCTGTATCACAACTGAGCTGTTCCAGTAATGTCATAGCCATACTATATATGTCATAGCCATACTATATATGTCATAGCCATACTATATAAAAATTGTTCTTCAGCACATTCCAAATTAGGGATTCCTTTTGGCTTTGAAATGGAGTCAACGATCATTGTTTGACAATGTGAAAGAACAAAGCTAAAGACATTTTCCAACATTCAAGGATTCAAAGTTTAAAATCCATAAACTGGAGAAACAAGCACATATGAAGAGTCACAACTTACCAGAGTAGAGACATACAAGCAGAAACTGCCATAGGAGCCAATGCATGAGTAGTAGGAAAGCCTGAACTGTAACTGATGAATTGCTGGAGACTCAATGTGGACAATTCTTAAGAGTTGGGCTGGCTGGAGTGGCTCAGTTGATTGAGCATCATCCTGTGTACCGAAAGGTTGCCGGTTAGATTCCCGGTCAGGACACATACCTGGGTTGTGGGTTTCATCCAGTTTGGGAGCATATGAAAGGCAACCCATCAATGTTTCTCCCTCTCTTTAAAGCATGTCCTCAGTGAGGATTAAAAATAATAATGATAAATAAATAAAAACTCCAGGGGACCCAGTTATTGGAAGGGGTCCCATTATACTGTGAGATTTACCAACCAGATTCCCATAGTAAATATTAGAGAGAAACACACTTGGGCTTCCCACAGGTTGATGAGATGGGGTGGCCAATATGAAATTACAAACCAGAGTACTTGGTCCTTCTTAACAAAGACCTACACTCAAAAGAAACTAGTTCATCAGAGCCTAAGAGACCCGGGGCAAAGAAAATAAACAACCCCAGCCTACTCTAGCCATGCTATCCCATCTGGGGGGAAGAGAAAAAAAATGACAAATGCTTGTGAGGTTCACAGTCCAGAGGCATAAGTTCACTAAAATACTAAGAGCAAATCATAGGACTAAAGCAGAGGTAGGGAACTTTTTTCCTGCCAGGAGCCATTTGGATATTTATAACATCATTCACAGCCCATACAAAATTATCAACTTAAAAATTAGCCTGCTATATTTGGTCCAACATTTAATTAATTCACCTCTAATGCCTTGGCAGGGCCAGACCAAATGATTTCTCAGGCCCGGAGGGCTGGACATTCCCTGCCCTGGGCAAAGAATGTTTCCCCTACCCCAGTGGTCAGCAAACTCATTAGTCAATAGAGCGGCAAACCACATGTGGCTTGTGAGCCGCAGTTTGCCGACCACTGCCCTACCCCAACCTTACTACCACATTACTAAAGCCCTATTAATAGCAGTTCCTTTTAGCAAAATAGCATAGCTACCTATCAAGAAAAATTTATAAGGCATACCGAAAGGTAAAAAACACACAGTAAAGAGACAGTGCAAACATCAGTACCAGACATGGAAAGTTGGAATTATTAGAGATGGAATTTAAAACAACTATAATTAATATGATAAGGGCTCTATTAGATAGACAGCAAGAACAGATGAATGTTGTAAGCAGAGAGATAGAACCCTAAGAATGAACCAAAGAAATGTTAGATTGGAAAACAAACAAACACCCAGATATAAATAATGCCTTTAATAGGTTTATTTAGTACATGAGACATAGCAAAGTAAAGAATCTCTCAGCTAAAAAATATACCAATAGAACCCTTAAAGAATGAAAATTAAAAAAAACAAAGAATGGAAAAAACACACAGAAGAATATCCAAGGACTATGGGACAACTACAAAAAGGTATAACATACATGTAATAGGAATATTGGAAGAAGAGAAAAAAAAGAACAGAAAGAAACCAATAATGACTGAGAATCTCCACATTATTATTATTATTATTATTATTATTATTATTATTTTTACAATTTCCCCAAATTAATGCTGGACATCAAATCACTGATCCAGGAATCTTAGAGAATACCAAAAAAGAAAAATACAAAACAAAACAAACACCCTCCCCCCCCATCTATACATATAATTTTTAAACTACAGAAAATCAAAGGCAAAAAAAAAAAATCCTGAAAGAAGCCAGAGGAAAAGAATCACCTTACCTATAGAGAACAAATAATTATATCTAACTTCTTAACCATGCAAGCAAGAAGAGAATGGAATAAAACATTTAAAATGTTGAGGGGAGAAAAATGCCTACCAACCTAGAATTCTGTATCCTGAAAAATTACTTTTCAAAGGAGAAATAAAGATTTTCTCAGACAAAAAAGAGACTCTGTTTTGTTGTTGAATGTCTCTTTGCCTCAGTTTCCTCATATATAAAATGAGTTGCTATGAGGACTAAATGAGATTAACACATAAGAACTCCTTACAAGAGCCTAGTAAGTATTTGCCATTATCATCATCATCATCATCATCTAAATATTCAAACTTGACTTCAGGAAAAATTTGGAAATACATTTTATTATTTTATTTAAAATATTCCAGTTTACACCAGAATTAAAATACGGCAATGATTATTAAAAGCCTCAGAAACCAGAGTGTAAGAGAAAAAATCAACAGGGGAACAGGAATCCTTAAGTCAGAAAGATATTTAGAATTGTATTGTGGAGGAGTTCACACTCATTTGGGCAACAGTGGCATAATCCAGGGGTTAGCAACCTATGGCCTACAGGCCAAATCTGCTAACTGTTTTTGGACCATCAGTTAAGATAGAGCATTATGATATGCGAAATAACTCCAGCTGCTGGCACCCAGGATCTGGGCTTTTCCCCCAACTGCTGGTAGGCACATGGGACCCTGGCTTTCCTCCCCAGGTCTTCCTCCGGATGGTCATCTGAAAGGACATCTGGTCTAATTATAATAGCATATTTTGCTTTTATTATTATAGATACTGGACCACTTTCTTACATCATGTACAAAAATAAACTCAAAATGGACTAAAGACTTAAACGTAAGACACACAATCATAAAAATCCTAGAGAGAAAAAAACCAAGGTAGTAAAATCTTGGACAAATATGTTAGCAATATTTTTTTTTTCTGATATAGCTCCTCAGGCAGGGGAAACAAAAGAAAAACTAAACAAATGGGACTATATCAAACTAAAATTTTTTTCCACAGCAAAGGAAACCATCAACATTAAAATGGAAGAAGATATTTACCAAGGATGCATTCAATAAGGGGTAAATATCTAAAATTTACAAGGAATTTATAAAACTCAACACCAAAAAAGCAATCCAATTAAAAATGGGTGTAGGATTTGAATAGACATGTCTCCAAAGAAGTCATACAGATGCTCAACTTCACTAATCATTAGGGAAATGCAAATTAAAACCAGAATGAGATATTATCTCACACTTGTCAGAATGGCTATCACCAATAAATCAACAAACAACAATCGTTGTCAAAGTTGTGAAGAAAAGGGAACCCTCATGCACTGTTGGTGGGAATGCAGACTGGTGCAGACACTATGGAAAACAGTATGTAGGTTCCTCAAAAAATTAAAAATTGAAGTGTCTTATGACCCAAAGACTCCACTTTTGGGTATATATCTGAAGAAACCCAAAACAGTACTTTGGAAAAATTATATGCACCCCTATGTTCATTGCAGTGCTATTTACAATAGCCAAGATATAGAAGCAATCTGAGTGCTCATCAACAAATGAGTAGATAAGTTATGATATGTGTCCTAGCTGGTTTGGCTCAGTGGATAGTGTGTCAGCCTGCAAACAGAAGGGTCCTGGGTTCAATTCTGGTCAAGGGCACATGCCCAGGATGTGGGCTCCATCTCCAATAGGGGATATGCAGAAGGCAGGTAATCAATGACTCTTTCATCATTAATGTTTCTCTCCCTCTCCCTCTCCTGTCCTTTCTGAAGTCAATAAAATAGTGTGTGTGTGTGTGTGTGTGTGTGTATACATGTGTGTGTGTGTGTGTGTGTGTGTAAGTTAATGATATGTAAATAAATAATGGAATATTATTTAGCCACAAAAAAGAATGAAATCTTACCATTTGCAACATTATGCTAAGTGAAATAAGTCAGACAGAGAAAGACCAATGCCATATTATTTCAGTTATATGTGGAATCTTAACAACAAAGTAAATGAATATGGAAACAAACTCATAGATATGGAGAACAGACCAATGGTTGTCAGAGGGAAAGCAGAGTGAGAGGCTGGGTGAAAAAAGTAAAGTGATTAAAAACTACAAACTGGTAGTCACAAAATACTAGTAGTCCCAGGTATGTAAAATACAGCATAGAGTATATAGTCAATAATATTATAACTATGTAAGGTGCCAAGTGGGTACTTGAAATATTGGAGGGGGACCCAAAATGAATACAAAATAATAGGGAATGTAAACTGGGATAGGGGCTTAATCACAAGGAAGAACAGCAGCCTGTAATTAGTGGAATCGAGAGTCTAGGTCAGTGGTCAGCAAATTCATTAGTCAACCGAGCGGCAAACCGTGGCGTGAGCCACAATTTGCCAACCACTGGTCTAAGGTAACCCATATTGCTAACTTTAAATTTCTTATAGAACTTTAAGTGGAATAAACTAAAAAATAAATAGCCTCCCATCCATTTAGGTCAAGTTTGGCTAGCAAATTAATTATCAATATAACAACTTTCGTTTTTCAGGGCTTTGGGGATTTCAGAATTGCATATGTGGAATTGTTGACCTATACGATTCTTTTATAAAGAATTATGCTAACAAAGATCAAAAGCCAAAAAATAGCCAGATGCAAGATGGGTCACAAGATTGGAACCACCTGGGCAAACTTCTCCAAATCACAAAACCCTTACTAATGAAGATTCCCCATTTCCCTAGTAGCTTCTGTATGTAGTAAGTCACTGGACCTCATAGCAGTATATACTGGGCTGAAAAAGGCACAATAAATTTGAAGTTAAAAAAAAAAAAAGTATAGAGATTTTTAAAATTCCAATGTAAATAAAACAATATGGAAATCCTTGGAGTTTTTAAAAATATCTTACTCCATGAGGTAAGAAATAGCCCAAAAGAAACAGATACAAAGAACATCAACATTACTTTAAAATCTGGTATCTCCCAAATATTTTAACCTTCTTAAAAAATTCATTTATTTTATGCACTCGGAGTCAATATCAGCAGATATTATGTGCAAGGCACTGTGTGTACCAGGGAATACCAGGAGTGAGGTTTAGAGAGGGGCTGAATGTGAGTTAAAATTTTATCTTAACACTAGAGCCCCGTACATGAATTTGTGCATGGGTGGGGTCCCCCCTGCTGGCAATTGGGGTGGCCAGCGGGGGGAGGGGGGAGGAGACCGCAGGAAGTTGGCTAGCCCCAGGAGCTTGGCTGTGGGAGCGCACTAACCACCAGGGGGCAGTTCCTGGTGGTCAGTGTGCATCATAGCGACCAGTCCATCAGTTGTTCGGTTGCTTAGGTTTATATATATATAGATGCAGATGGAGAGGCCAAAACAAATTCTGAGCAGGA